CAGCTAAAAAGTCACACTTATCTGAACATATGAGAACTCATACAGGAGAAAAACCCTACAAGTGTGACCAGTGTGACTATTCTGCAGCACGGAAAGCTCATTTGGACACACATCTTGCAAAACACACCGGTGAGAAACCCTACATGTGTGGGGAGTGTGGGTACAGGACAGCTCAAAAGTCTAACTTGTCCCAACATATGAGAACCCATACTGGAGAAAAACCCTACAAGTGTGACCAGTGTGACTATTCTGCTGCAGAGAAATCCACTTTTTGCCACCGAAAGGGATCTGCTTGGAGATTACCAGGGCTCGAAACTAACGGTGTTCCGATGGCCAGTGACAACTGAAAAATAAGCTGGGGCAACTAAAAAGATAATTTGGGACATTTTTGGGACAATAGAAAAATAGTCAGAATGTCAGCCCTTCTTTTGTTTGTCTTCACTACCCAAAATTTCCCGTTTACTTTCCAATAATAGCGCGCCTATTGCCTGGAAGTCAGAATGTAAGCAAAATAAAGCTGACTTCAAATTCACTTCCTGTAAACAGGTTAGAACAGTTCATTCCTCACTTCGGGACAACTGAAATTTATTTTCGGTTCAGTGCTGGGACAATAGAAAAAAACTTGATTTCGAGGCCTGATGCATTAGGCAAAGTAGCCTTTGTTGAGGGCATTCAATAACATAATAAAATATTAATGTTAAAGAAACGCAAAAGGCGTCAATTATAAATTTGTAAACACTTGAATTGATCTGTGAAAACAGCGAATGAAGTCAGGGAAAGTTGTTTGTGTGTGTGTGTTGGTAGCCTGGTATCCACTCTGATCGTGGTCGGGGCCGAAAGATCTCTGTCCCGCATAGGTTTCCCGGTGTGTATTTCACGAGAGATTGATTAGCCCTTCCCCAAGCATACTGTCTCTTAGTAGCGTAACAGTAACACTCCTACCGGGACGGCCTGTTGCACTGGGCGGGGGAAGCTATTAGAGCCCCCGAAGACACAGCCTGCCCGAACACCCCAATACCCCCAAGTTTGAACCACTGAACTTTAAACCTTTTTTTTTTACTCTTCAGACCAGACATGGCAACGTCAGGGCACGGGTCTCCTACTGGAGTTGGTCAGAACTGCTGTGATGGGTCTCCCACCGGGGTTTCCCAGGTCGACTATGACAGCAAAACAAGCAATGCTGAAGACCAGGCGGCAGCACAAGTCAACTTGGATAATGCTGGTGAGAAACCCTACTTGTGTGAGGAGTGTGGGTACAGGGCGGCTTACAAGTCTATATTATTTGTACATATGAGATCCCATACAGGAGAAAGACCCTACAAGTGTGACCAGTGTGACTATTCTACAGCGTTTAAATCTAGTTTGAACAGTCATGTAGCAAAGCACACTGGTGAGAAACCCTACATGTGTGAGGAGTGTGGGTACAGGACAGCTCACAAGTCTACCTTAACCCGACACATGAGAACCCATACAGGAGAGAAACCCTACAAGTGTGACCAGTGTGACTATTCTGCAGCACGGAAATCTCATTTAGACGATCATCTCGCAAAGCACGCTGGTAAGAAACCCTACATGTGTAGGGAGTGTGGATACAGGGCAGCTGTTAAGTTGACCTTATATCGACACATGAAAACCCACAAAAGGAAATAAACCCTAGATATTTTCCAGAATGCAACTATTCTGCAGCACAGAAACCTTACTTGTGAAGGTGTGTGGCTACTGTGCTGCTCAAATGTCCTACAAGGCAAACTCTTCACTGTTAGGACCTAAATAACTCTACCTGTCTAGACTATGTATGATGTACAAAATGACTAATAAACTGGTGGACGTCCCAACTACTGAGTACCTAATACCAGCCCAGAAGGGAACAAGAAATAGCCATGCCTTCAAGTACCAGAGTTATCAACCAAGGATTGAGGTGTTCAAGAATTCATTCTTTCCTAGAACTATCGCAGAGTGGAACTCACTGTCATCAAGTAAATTAGAGTTAGAAGTTTAAGGCTAAGTTAGGTCTAACAAGTCGATCGGTGTACACCGTTTTTAAGCATTGAAATTTTTGTAAAAAATAATATATTACATGTGTATATAGCTTGATTTTGCACTGTACAATATTCGATGTTTAATGTATTATATTTGATGTTTGAAGTGCAATATTTAATGTTAATGATGCCCAGTTATTGCAATTTGTTTTGTATTTAATAATGTAATTTGTATTTATATTCTGTATGTTGTGTTTGGGAGGACAACTTACTTGTAAAGGTGTCAATGTACCTGTTTTGTCCTCCCTCCCACTTGTATACATGTATGTGGTGGTAAACTCAAATAAACAAATACATTAATCGTACATACCTTTGTATATGCGATCCCAAATGTAAAGTATTGTTATTTATAATAAAATATATACATAAATAAATGGCTACCCAACAATACTGAGTCATATAGATATTGCTAGCATGTAGACGTGTTGACAGACGTAAAATACATTATCTGGATAATCAGGAGAGAATTCTAACCTTTGACCTACACCACAATCACCTTTGACCTCACGCAATACAAGCCCAGGCAAAGCTGCCCGAGTTCCGGTTTACGTGAAGAGAAAAACCATCATAGGAAGCAGGTAAGGCTTAGAAACGGACAGCTAAGTACGTGATAACGAAAATAAAGAATTTGAGATCATTTTCGTGAAAGAAAAACCTGGGTTAGATTGTGATTTTTGCGCCTTTTCTGTATGTAAACATGGAACGAAATGTGAAGGGGGAGGGGGGCGAAACCAAACATACGTGCAACCCGGGCCGCCCTTACATCTAAACTAAGACGTTTTCGTCTTGTTTAAAACCAAGTCTTTTGGTGTAACATTATGGCAGCTTGTTGCTTTAGAGTGAAGGGGAAAAATCTGCACTAGGAAGTTTTATATACATTTTGAGCGACTGAGCCCCGAATACGAACTTCAAGGCTTTTCTAGTTGTCTGCCATTCATTTTGCCATTTCGTCTTTTGTGTTTGAAAGTCGACTGCAAAATTGCGTGATCATGCTCATTCTTTATCTCTCTAGTCCTCGGGGCTTAACTGCATTGGTCATCATCAAAAATAATACTTGGAATATAAACTATTATATGCATGTATTAACATGTAAAATTATACTTGTTTGGCTATGCCCACCCCCCCATAGAACAGAAATGGAAGATTCCAGCTGTGACCCATGTGTTGGACACCCTGGGAAGGAGCTGGACTGTACTGAATATCCTGGGAAGGAGCTGGACTGTACTGAATATCCTGGGAAGGAGATGGACTGTACTGAACATCCTGGGAAGGAGATGAACTGTACTAAATACCCTGGGAAGGAGACAATGGACATGGACCCTCAAGGCAATATGGGAAGGCCCATGGTTAGAAACACTGGTGAGAAACCCTACATGTGTAAAGAGTGTGGGTACAGTACAACTAACAAGTCTCACTTATCCCGACATATGAGAACACATACAGGAGAAAAACCCTACAAGTGTGACCAGTGTGACTATTCTGCAGCTCACAAACCCTCTTTGGACCAGCATGTGGCAACAAAACACACCGGTCAGAAACCGTACATATGTGGGGAGTGTGGATACAGGACAGCTAGAAAGTACCACCTATCCCGACATATGAGAACTCATATGAGAGTAAAACTCTACCAGTGCAACCAGTTTGACTATTCTGCAGCACAGAACTTCACTATTGAGAAACGCTCTTGCAAGAAACCCTACATGTGTGGGGAGTGTGGGTACAGAACAGCTCACAAGTCTCACTTATCCAGACACATGAAAATACATGTAGGGGAAAAACCCTACAAGTGTGACCAGTGCGACTATTCTGCAGTACAGAAATCCACTTTGGACCAACATTTAGCAACACACACCGGTGAGAAACCCTACATGTGTGGGGAGTGTGGGTACAGGGCAACTTTAAAATGCCACTTATCCAGACATATGAGAATCCATACAGGAGAAAAACCCTACAAGTGTGACCAGTGTGACTATTCTGCAGCACACAAGTCTCATTTAGACTTTCATCTCACCAAGCACACGGGTGAGAAACCCTACATTTGTGGGGAGTGTGGATACAGGACAGCTTACAAATTCAATTTACCCATACACATGAGAACTCACGTTAACTCTGAAAATGTGACCAGTGTGACTATTCTGCAGTAGAGAAAGCTCACATATCTCAAGATAAACTCTACTTGTATTTGCTGCGATACTTGTAGGTGCTGTGTCTATGTTAGGCTCAGAAGGCTTAGTTCAAGGGTTAGGTGTAACAAGTCAATCGGTGTAATATAGCCAGCTGCCGCCGCGCCGCGTGCCTGCGAAGCTGGTGTGTTACCCTGAAAGGCGGTTATACCGGCTATACAGATACAGAAGCTGGTGTGTTACACCGAAAGGCGGTTATACCAGCTACTGTATACAGATACAGAAGTTGGTGTGTTACGCCGAAAGGCGGTTATACCGGCTATACAGATACAGAAGCTGGTGTGTTACGCCGAAAGGCGGTTATACCAGCTATACAGATACAGATACAGAAGGCCACAGTCAATTTAGTGTTCTGATTCTAATTTATGACTGTCATTATCATTATTTATTGTATCTCAATTTTATTGTTTGTGTTTGACTGTTTTACCTGTTTATGTATACTTGATGCAGGGCCCCACTGAAAAGCAGTGTTGCCACTGACTGGGTTGCAATGAGTAAAATGATGGGAAAGAATTATTGTAGAATGTACTATGATTACTACCTACACAGATGGACTTCAACGATAATTCAGCGTTCTAAATGTACTTATTTATGTACTAATTTATTGCAGTAGGATAACTACCAACACAGATGAACTTTCATGATAATTTAGTGTTCAGGCAGAAAGTGGTCAAGACTGTGCATTTAGAATTTAAACAGTTAATGGTTTAAATCCTTAAAAGATTTCAATGTATTTTATGCCATTGATTGTCATTTACTATTGAATATGTAGAAATTGTAAAAACACAAATGTTTTATAATACTGTATATCTGCTCTTCACAATTAAATTCTTAAGTCCCACTACAAGTCATGAGTCTCTGTTGTCATGTTGCTGTCTTCCTTTCTCGGATTTCCTTGTCTATTTTGATACATTGTTGCATATTTGTTCATTTGGCAACTCCCTTGTAGTATTTCCAAGGTAACAAACTATTTTTGGAAATGGCCCACCTTGATGCCATCCACATAATTAATTTCCTGCTGCCCTAGACATTCAGGTAGACAATTATTTCACGAAAAATCCAAGGATCTAGGGAGTATCTTTCAGCAGTGACTAAGAATGAGACCTTAAACAGTAAAATTGAATTTTCATAGCATCTATGTAGCATGGTATCAAACTACTAGTATTTCTTTGAAATGGACCAAAGTGTGGTGGTGTGGCCTATTTGCATATCAATCAATAGTTTGTGCTTTTAATTATATAAACCTGTATTTTCCCTCTGGTCTCTCAGTCACGGACGAAAGCTAGTGGATACTAGCTGAAACGTCTGACAGTTTCCAAAAGCATATCCAGTTGCTTCAGTAACTGCTTTTTAGCGTATGGGGTGAATGGTTTGTTTGGAAGTACTTACGATTGTCTAATCGCATGTCCCTACGAGGCTGGTGGTTCGTCCGTCCATGTTGTTTCAAGACCTTTGACCTGAAGATATCCCATGATGTCCTAGGAGATACTCTTCAAGCAGAGGTTGTGGGGGAATGATCGTTAGCTTTTTATATATGACCGTGTTTTTTTTTTCGCTACCCCCACCAACCCCGTCGGTGGCCGGCGACCTTCTCTGGCTAATGGATACTGCCTGGTCAATTTGATAATGTCTTTTTGCCATGCACCGAAAGGGATCTGCTTGGAGATTACCAGGAGAAAAAAACAGCGAAAAAATGCACACATAAAAAAACAGGAATAGAAAACAAACACACGGGCAAATCTAAGGAACAACACTTAAGGAAAGGAAAAGAAAAAAACAAGGAAAATTTTCAACAAAACAACAAAAACATTCAAATAAAACGGTCCCTTAGTAAGATCAATCTTTATTCACAAATAAGAAAAAGACATTAAATAAATGTTTATACATCAATAGATAGAAATTTTCCCTTCGACAGGATGTATGTATGTAGGTTAAAACGAGGATAACTCGACGGTGCAATATAACCCTGCACGCTAGGTGGAGCTGTCACGACAAATGCATACAGCTGGAACAGAAGGCCTTATTTGGTATGATAAACTATCCCATCAGCCCGTGCGCGTCATAAACACGCCGGATTTATTACGCCGTTCCCGGAACATGATTTCATGACGTCACGGTATGCAGATGGCACACGCTGCCTTATTTGGCATAATGGACCATAAACACGCAGTATTTATTACTCCGTTCCCGGAAAATGATTCCATGACGTCACGGAACACGCTGCCTTATTTGGCATGATGGACGATCCCATTCAATACTCAGGGAGGCACCAGCCCTGCATCATATATAAAACACGCAGTATTTATTACTCCGTTCCCGGAAAATGATTCCATGACGTCACGGAACACGCTGCCTTATTTGGCATGATGGACGATCCCATTACGGACGGAGGCACCAGCCGTGCATCATAAACACGCAGTATTTATTACTCCGTTCCCGGAAAATGATTCCATGACGTCACGGAACACGTTGCCTTATTTGGCATGATGGACGATCCCATTACGCACGGAGGCAACAGCCGTGCATCATAAACACGCAGTATTTATTACTCCGTTCCCGGAAAATGATTCCATGACGTCACGGAACACGCTGCCTTATTTGGCATGATGGACGATGCCATTACGCACGGAGGCACCAGCCGTGCATCATAAACACTCGGAATTTATTACTCCGTTCCCGGAAATCGGTCGATTTCCAATAAGTATGTACATTACTGAGTGTATCTTACAGAGCGAGTCTCGCCAACTGCTGCGGGCGGCAGTTTTCTGACATTAGGCCACAGCACGTAAATTTTATGGATGACATCCTCTGAAGACCCTTAAACTAGTGCGCGCGGGCGAATAAAATTTCAGCCAAAAATAAAAATGCTACTAAACTACAGGATACAAAGCTGGTATAATAAATATACGGCAGTACATAGCGACGTACATGTATACGACATGCTGGCACATGCTGGCTTTTTATGAATCGGCACTGTATGTACGGACTTAGTTCTTGAGTCGTGGAGCTTCGGCAGCCTGGGTGCCGTCCTTCAGAGTTACCACCGGCTCCGTATTATCGCCAACAACCATGTATGGACTACCCAGGCCTAGAGCCAGGCCAGAGCCTTTTGTTTTTGAGATCAGGCGAAAATCAATGCGCGCGCGGATGTCATCCATAAAATTAAGTCGGTGGCCTTATTTCGGTATCTTTAAAAAAAAATTTCGCCCGCTCGCATTAGATTTGGAATCTGCGGAGGATGTCATCCATAAAATTAACTTGCTGTGGCCTTATATTTCATCCCGCAAATGGACCTTAGAGAATATCGACTTGCATGAGTCATATTGGCGTCGTATTATTACATACATATATGTAGCAGAAATTTTACAATCTGTTTTTCTAACTTAGCAATGAAATATTTTATGTACACTTGGTGGACGAGTCAAACGTTGAATCTGAATATGAAATGAATTAATAATGTTTGAAAAAGGATCAAATATGTGTGGTACAGCCTAAAAATACGAATGAATCTATGTAATATGTGACTTGTTTATATAATGCCTGGAAAATCGGTTCTTTGGCCGCATATTTCTTTTTACAACATTTTCCATCAAAGGGATACGCCCATAGTCCGTCCCTCACGTTTAGAGGAAGTCCTACGCCCTCCCTTAGCATTGGAAATTAGCCCGTCCATAATGTTGAAAAGGTTGTGGAGAGTTCAAGTCCCTAGTCTGTCCTTGAGCGTAGTGATTGTTAAGTTCTAAGCCCGTCCTTAGCGCTGTGAGAGGAGCCCGTCCTTAGTTCCAAAAGGGTTAAGTCCCGAGCCCATCCAGATTGGGAAGAGACAAGCCTGTCCTTAGCGTGGTTATCCCGCTCTTAGTTTCACAAAGGTTAAGTCCTAATGCCGTTCTAAGCCCGTCCTTATTAGCTTGTAGATTGGGGAGAGTTAACTTGTGATTGGATGGTGTTCAGCACCAAGGACAGATACATTGTCCTTCGCCTGTCCTCAGCTTAATGAGAGTTAAGTCCTTATCCCGTGCTGAGCCAGTCCTTAGCTTGATGAAGTTAAGTCCTGATGCCGTCTTTAGCGTTGTGAGGGTTAAGTCCCGATGCCGTCCTTATCCTATGCCCTTCCTTATTAGCTTGTAGATTGGTGAGAGTTACGCCCGTCCTTAGAGTTGTGAGGGTTACGTCCTGAGCCCGTCCATAGCTTTGTGAAAGTTACGTCCGTCCTTAGCGCTGTGAAAGTTAACTCCTGCCCCCGTCCCTGAGCAGTTCGCCTTCCCGACTGCCCCTGCGCACCTCCCGGCTCAGGTTACTCTGGTTGTCGCTGACGTCACCCCTGACGTCACCTCTGCAGCCCACACCGAGCTGAGACTGTGTGAGAGACTTCGGCCGCGGACTGGCGCCCTTTCGCCGGAGCGTTTCTGTCAAGAGAAAAAAAAAACAAAGAAAATTCACGTAAAAACCTTAGAAATTTATTACAAATCAAATACATTCATTTACAAAGCAAATACATTCATATACATATATGTATATATATCTATATATAGACCAGCCCTCCAACTCTGCCCTACCACTTGCTACATAATGTAAGACAACACCACCGGGTGTCTGCTACAGCACCAGTTACCATGGTGACAGACGTCTGGTCCAGGTCATTTGTTTGGACTTGGGAAGAAGAAGAAACTGAGCAACTCATTACTTCGGGTTAATGATTTATTAACCAGGTTAATGATTTATTAACCAGGTTAATGATTTATTAATCAGGTTAATGATTATTTACCGTTGAGGTTGATGATTTCCACGTAGTTGGAAGGGAAGAGCCCGGCCTTGCCGTTGAGTTTGCCATACCACCAGCCGCCCCCCTCCCCTTTCAGAACCTCCACCACGTCCCCGGACTGTAGCCGCAACTCGTCTTCGTCTGTCGGCACGTAACTGTACAGGACCTTCGCGAACCTTCGCCACGTCACTAATAATATCAATAAACAATAATCAATAAACTGTAATCGATCATCAATAAACAAAAGTCAATCATCAATCGTCAATAAACGTAACAAACATCGTCCTCATCAGTAGGGACGTAAGTGTACAGGACCTTCGCGAATCTTCGCCACGTCACTGGGATCAATAAACAATCAATCGATAAGCAATAATCGATCATCAATACACAACAATCGATAATCTATAAACGTTACAAACATCATACAAACCTTCGCCACGTCACTGGGATCAATAAACAATAATCAACAAACAACTAAGTGTTAATGGCCCGCCCTTTCTCGGTGAATATGGTGTGATAAAGACTTGTCAGTTGCTATAAACACCTCATAAAGCCACCTCGTTTGCTGCGCTCACTCGATGGCTTCATTCGGTGGTTATAGCAACTGGCAAGGCTTTATCACACCATATTCACCTCGGGGCGGGTCATTATCCCTTAAATCAATAATCAAAGATCAATATTTATTGACAATATAATCAATAATTGAGATTCCATGCCATCTGACCTGAGTCGCCGTCCCCGGATTTCCTGTTGTCCCGTTTGTTGCTGTACTCCACGGCTAGCGGGACGGTCGCCGCAACGCCTGCCGGGAAAACGAGAAGACTGAAAAACTCTTTCTTACACAAGGCAATACGCCTGTACAACAAGTCTTAGAACTCACTGGTCTTTACTTAAGTGTCCATGTGAGGTTTTTTGTAATGTTTTTGTTCCTGTGTTTGTATATGTATTGTAATGTTAATTTGCATTTGCCAGATAATCAACTGTAAAAAAAATGTACCTAGCCTCCACCAGGCCTTTCTACGGGAATTCGGATCGTAGAATTCTGCGCTGCCTCCCTCTGGAAAGTACTCAAACGTTATAGCCAATTTTCCCTATAACTTAGTATAAGCTCCTGGCCCAAACCTACTAGCCTCTACCAGGCTTCGGGAGGCTGCCGGAAGGAGTAGAAATCGGCCAAATAGAGAGATAACATAATCTCTATTTGGCCGATTTCTACTCTTTCCAGCCGCCTCCCGAAGCCTGGTACAGGCTACAAACCTACCCATGTCACTGTGCGAGTCTGCCAGGTACCGTACGGCGCCGCTGTCCTTGTCAATGGACTGCCTCCCCCTGGGGAAGTAGTCGAACTCCTTCATACCGACGGAGTAGTAAGGCGGGCTCCGGGCGCGCTTTCTGCGCCTCTCCCTCCGGCGCCGCAACCAGATGCCCAACAAGACTAAACAGAGGAGCAGCCACAGACCCCCCGCAACGGCACCAGCGATGATGGCCGTACGCGTGGAGCTGCCTTTCTTCCCAGTGCTTTGCCGGGCTACCATGTCTAGAAGGGGGAACAAGATAGCCCAGGGAGTCACTCAAATTCCCCTACCGATAAACACACGCACAGATAGCCTGATTAAATCGCTTTTGCCGGCCGCCCAACATCCAGCCGGCCTATGTAGGGAGCCCCCCGGAGCTTGGGTTACATAGGCTAACGCACAGACACCTACAGATTCTCTTTTTTCCCCGTACCATCCCACAGTGGAACTCCTTACCCGGCCTGGTAGTTATTATGGCTCCCAATGTTGAGTCGGCCTGCCCGCCTTAGCCTGCCATCCCCCTCCCACCAATAGCACCCCTCGCGGGGTTATTTGGGGATAACCAAAAAGAAGAAGAAGAACTAGAAAGGGAACATTTACAAAGCAAGTGCATAATGTTTACCTTCCCATATGGTCTGCTCTGTTAATAATTACTCCAACACATTCACATATATGGTGACAGGAGTCTAAATCCCTCCTGCTATAAAACTGCAACATGATGTAACCCAACACCAGTTACCATGGTGAGAAACGGTCTGGTTCAGGTCATTGACCAGGTCAGAGGTCAGTGTTAGAGAAGAAGACCTGTCACGTGACCCTCACCTTGCACGGTCAGCCGAAGCGTCTTTGCGTCTGCGCTGCCGACGTCATTACTGGCGGAGCATGCGTACTGGCCGCTGTCGTTGATGTTGAGGTTGGACAAGGTCATCATACTGACCTCTCCCGTGGACGTTTGAAGGTCAGTCGGCAGCAGCAGGCCCTCTTTTAGCCACCTGAAGAAAAGGGAAAGTCATCTCTTTTACTATCATGAAAGTTCATCTGTGTTGGTAGTTACATGTTTAAAGTTTTGGTCCAACACAAGTTCTCTCACCTAGAGCTTTCCATCAGTCACTCTGGTCTTCCTCAGTAGACTGACCCAGTGAGGCTTGTCACGTGGCTTCTTTGAAGTGTGACGTCAACACTGGGTCAAAGGTATCTGGTCTACTGAGGAAGACCAGAGTGACTGGTCGAAAGCTCTAGGTGAGAGAATTTTTTGTGTTGGACCAAAAGTTTTAACTTTAAACAAAAGTGATCTCTTGTTTGTTTGTTTGTTTGTTGCCAGCACTGACTCTCCTGGCTAACTATTTCCCTTCTTTTACTTATTTTTTCTTATACGTACCTGATGACCGGTTTAGGGTAGCCGTCTGCCCGACAGTACAGCTTGACAGAGTCTCCTGACGCCATGGTGAGCGAACCGGAGATGTGGATAATAGACGGCGGATCTGGGTGGGGAAATTTCACATCAAGGGATTGAGGAATTTCTTTCACTACTTTGTTCAATAAAAGGTAAAAGAGACAGTGGAATACTAAAATACTAGTAAATTTGTATTAAGTTGGGGGCCGACATCGTCTACCAGATACCTTTGACCCATTGTCACGTCACACTTCAAAGAAGCCACGCGACAATCCCCACTGGGTCAGTCTACTGAGGAAGACCAGAGTGACTGGTCGAAAAAAATGTGTGTTGGATCTAAAGTTTTAACTCTAAACAAACAAATATCTACTTACAGAGCACCTCTAACTTGAGACTTTCCCTCCCTTCACTCATCATAATTAGCAAACAAACAAATATTTACTCACAGAGCACCTCTAACTTGAGACTAGCCCTGCCCTGCCGAGCCTCGTGATCGGCCACGCACGTGTACATGCCTGCGTCATCCTTCCCGGCATTCCGTATGCGCAGGTTCGGGTCCGAGCCACTTCCACCCTGGTATCTGTGGCGGGGCGACAACTGTTAGGTACAGAATCGTACTTTATGTATCCTGAATCGTACTTTATGCCAGTGTACCAAATTTCAGGAAAAAATATTGATGTTTAGATGTTGGCTTCTCCCCCATAATAATATGCATAAGGCCCATTAACATTACATCTTTAATTAGCGCTAGCGGGAGCGTGATACCACAATTTGACCAAAAAAATCATTGTTTGTGATGCAGAAGGACCTCCTCTACCAAAATATCAAGTCAAACCTTTTCTGTAAGATGGGTTGAACGAAATCACATTTCTAGGCCTCTTTCAGGAATTGGCTCCTGTAATATTATGTATCCAGAATCGTGGTCAGGTAAGGTTCTAGATAGTCCAGGCGTATCCAGAACCGTGCTTTGTGCTTTAAACCATGGTCAGGCACAGTTCTTGATATACACACGTATCTAGTTCTATGCCTGAATGGGTTAGGGTTAGGATGAGGCAAGGTTCAGGATTGTCTCCGCGTATCCAAGAACTTCGATTTGCCCCAGGTACCGTTCTGGATACGCGTGGACTATCTGGGAGACTGGTTCTGCGAGACTATCCAGAACCATGCTGCTTACTTGCGGTACCCCGGCGCTGTGCTGGCCGTGAGGGTGTTGACCGACATGCCGTTTTTCCGCCAGTGCAGGGAGGTGATGTTCGGTTTGGCGCCGGAGACGGAACAGGAAAGGGTGACGGTTGTGTTAAACTTCACCACGTACGGGTCCTCCGGGCCTACAACCACTCTCGGCGGCTCTGGAGTAAACAACAACAAACAAATAAACAAACAATTACGGTAGTGTTCTCTCACTCACTCACTCACTCTCACTCACACACTCACTCTCACTCATTCACTCACACTCACTCTCACTCACTCTCACTCACTCACTCACTCACTCACTCATTCACTCCTTCACTCACTCACTCACTCACTCACACACTCACACTCACTCACTCACTCTCACTCACTCACTCACTCACTCACTCACACACACACTCACTCACTCACTCACTCACTCACTCTCTCACTCACACACAAAATCACTCACACAAAATCACTCACACAAAATCACTCACACAAAATCACTCTTTTAACCCGTAGCTCACTGTAAGCAAAGGACATCCACCTCTCACACTGGTATACTATAGATGAATTAGTACGCCGAAACTGACACAGAAACTTTATCTAGCTCGCCAAAATGGGATAGAGGAAACCTTTCAACAGTTTACTAGTATATATAGAGGACCGAAATAGCCCGGTAAAAAGTGACGTCACGCTTCTGTGGCTGCCATCGGCTGATTTCCCCGGAGACTGCCGGGAATTAGCGATGATTGACGGAGACTGCCGGGAATTAGCGATGATTGCCGACGGGACCGGAATCATACACCAAACACCAAGCCTGCGTTTGGCTCATTGTAGTCTCTACCAGACTAACTACACTGGCTATGTATAGGAGAATATTTGCCAGGGGAGTTTGGCCGCCTTGTAGGTTTGACTGGCCGCTTCGGAGGGAAAAAAACTACCTCCCCGCGGCCGGACTCCCTTGGCCAATTTTACTCTCTTTTTTGCCGAATTCTACGATCCGTATTCCCGTAGAAAGGCCTGGTGGAGGCTTGGCTCATTGAGCAGTAATCAAACAACCGGCCCTGGTTCTAAACACGGGAGACGCACCCATCGCAGGAAGAACAATTTCCTACAGAAATTGATTTTCTTTCAGCTCCGGATGATGGTTTTTCGGGAGGAACCCGTTAAACTCCAGTAACTTCCCCCGGAAATTCGTGCTGCTACTGTCGCGTGAAATTGTGCATTCGATTTCTCCTGCTGTAGTAGCGAGAAGACGGGGAGGTTTTTGTATTTATTTATTCATCTTATTCACATACGGATTGTCTGAGGATCTAACAAAAATTAACAATATACTTAGTGGTTAATTACGTCGACCCGTGCAATGGCCAAGTGTGTGTAGAGTGCTCGCCTTGCATTCGGTAGGTCGTGAATTTGATCCCCGGCCGAGTCATACCAAAGACTTTCAATATGGTATTTTGGAAAAGCGTACGGGAGTTAAACACACACCACAGACGGTGAAAATAGTTAAATTTACGGTATTTCTGAGTACTAGAGTTGATGAAGGCCCGCCCAGACAGTGAAAATATGTGAATGTACAGCATTTATATAAGTACTATAGCTGTTGAGGATCCGCTCAGACAGTGAAAATAAATACATTTACGGTATTTCTGAGTACTATAGTTGATGAAGACTCAGCATGGGAGTTAAAACACACACCACCACCAGTGGACTAGCCGTGTAGTTGTGTAGTGACACAATTGTGTGACCCAAGGGCTACAGAAACGGAGATGGGCACCGCCATATGCAACCATGCTAATGGTGTTGCTGTAGTAGCAAGAAGACGGGGGGGGGGGTATTTATTTTATTCACATACGCATTGCTGAGTACTAGAGCTGATGAGGACCCGCCCAGACGGGTTGATTCATGCCTCTATGCCAGACTCGGCAGTGGCGCAGCTGGAGCCGTTTTACTCCCAGCACTTACAGATAATTAATCCTGATACAAACCGTCTAACCGCGCACAGGGCCATGTACTGCTGGTAGCGTGGTTTGTTTGCTTGCTTGTTTGTTTGTTTGTTTGTTTGTTTGTTTGTAAACAACAGCTGGATCAGTTTCACTCCCAGCACTTACGGATAATTAATCCTGATACAAACCGTCTAACCGCATACACTAGTACTGCTGACTTCATTTTCACTTATCTCTGCCTAGAAATAGGCTGGAAGGGTATGTTTTCTTAAGTTTTGTGTGTTTGTTCGTTAGCGTGTTTGTGCCGCCTTCTCATGTGCACTGGTGGATAATTAATCCTGATACAAACCGTCTAACCGCACGCACTAGTACTGCTGACTTCATTTTCACTTATCTCTGCCTAGGACTATGCTGGAAGGTTATGTCTTCTTTAGTTTAGTGTGTTTGTTCGTTAGCGTGTTTGTGCCACGTTCTCTGATGAGCACTTATGGATAATTAATCCTGATACAAACCGTCTAACCGCACACACTAGTACTGCTGACTTCATTCTCACTTATATCTGCCTAGAAATAGGCTAGAAAGTAATCGAGAGGTTTCCGAATTCAGCGTAGAGCGTTGTCGGGACCCCCCCCTCCCCTTGCAGGCCCTCATCATACCAGCCTGGAATCTAGATAACAGTTTGTGCAAGAACAAATGGAATAAATGGCAGTAGTTAGCTGGAGTTGACACATTTATAACTCCACCACATGGCCTTATCGTACACACACACGCGTGAACACAGTTTAATTCCTCGCGGTTCAGTCGAGCGTTTAAAATTATTTCTAGCTCTAAGAATACTTCTGTGACGCGACTTTACTATTGTCACAAATATATATTTATAAATGAGTATATATACTTATATATACTCATTTATACTTATATTAATATATATCAATATATATGTGGTTAACAGACGGTATTGTATCCAGAACCAGGCTTTATCTAGAATAGTGTTTTTTTTGCCCTTTAAGTACTTTCTTTACGTTTTCCCATATTGTTCTCTTTCTTGTATTATTTGTATGTTTTGCAACTAAAGCCCCTATGCAAAGCAGTGTTTATTAACCACATAGCGAGCTACCCTGGCTAAAGAAAACAAAACCGAGGAAAATCAAAATAAATTAATAGTGTATCCACTCGTATCCAAAACCGAAGATGAAACGTCAAAATATTGACACATTTCCTCCCCAGCGGCTGGATGGTTTCAGCCGCGACGTCAAATAAATCATTAAAGCGTATTGATAAATGTTTAAGCGATCCTTCAGGCCGGGAAATCAATGTTTATACAGGCAGAACCTCCCACTGGGGGTGTATATTGGTGTGGGGAGGGGGGCGTCACACCAGTGGTCAATATTGATCTCCACACGGAGTTCCAAGGACACCCTCTATTGTATGCAGAACCTTACCTAATTCTAGTTCCATGCTTGAATGGGTTAGTGTTAGGATCAGGCACGGTTCTGGATAGTCTCTATTGTATGCAGAACCTTACCTAATTCTAGTTCCATGCCTGAATGGGTTAGGGTTAGGATCAGGCACGGTTCTGGATATTCTCTATTGTATCCAGAACCGTGCGTGTCTAGTTCTGTGCCTGAATGGGTTAGGGTTAGGATCAGGCACGGTTCTGGATAGCCTTCGCGTATCCGAGAACGTAGATTTGCCCCCAGGCACGGTTCTGGATACGCGTGGGCTATCCAGAACCTTGCCTGATCATGGATCTAAACAGGGAAATTACAACATCACTACCACCGATCTTTCAGCACCAAGGACAGGGTAATACACATGACCGTGTGCGCGCGGTTAGGTACGGGTGATGAATAATCTCCAAGCAGTTACTTTGTTGCCGATTGTGTTATACAATGTATCACTGTCAGGGGCTGATTGGGCCTCCTTCCGTGCTTTATCCAGAACCAAGTTCAAGCACGGTTCAGGATAGTCCAAGTGTATTTGGGCTGGAATAAGGTTCGGATTAGGTACGGTTCTGGATAATCTCAATGTTTATTTGTTTATTTGTTTATTTGAATTTTTCACAAATTGAAAGGGAGGGCAAAACAGGTGCTTACGCACCTTTACAAGTTGCCCTCCCTTACAAAAAACAATGAATGTGTAAACACACATGAACAACAACAACATTACACAGTCAAATACATAATCAATTGCAGCAATATGTAGAAATAAGCAATAAATATAACAATATGATATGTTAAGCATTAAACAATTTTACCTAATAATAGGTGGGAATACATCATGTTGATATAGGAACTTAGTAGGGTCTAGAGGCAATGCAAGAACTACACCCACAAGAAGTGGTCCAAGTACATGGCAGGTCAAGACTGTAATGTGTGTTAAATCTGTTGTAGGTGGCCTTGAGGAGTTTGTGTTTAAATGATGTAATATCCGACTGATGAGCTGCTCGCTCACCAGAACCGCGGAGGTCAGAGCCTAACTTATTCCAAATAGTGACTAGCCTGGGGATGTATGTGTGACTGAACGATGATGTTTTGGCTCTAAAAGGGGTTAACATATGAGTTCTGGCACTTCTTGTGGGTCTGGTTGGAAAAGAAACATATTTCTCCAGAGTTGCCCTAGACTTAACAAATAACATTATGTCCCCAACTTTCCCCAATGTATCCATGAACGTATATTTTTACAGGCACGGTTCTGGCCGTCAGACCGATCGCCCACCAGCTTTGGGCCATTTTTACTGCAGGATTCGGGATCCCCCCATACACACCCTTCCCTTTCCAGACTTTAATAACCCTGCTGTTCTCACTTGGCTGGTTTTATTGCCTGTCTGGTGGATCGCCCGCCAGCCTTGATCCATTTTTACTGCAGGAATCGGGATCCCCCCATACACGCCCCTCCCCTTCCAGACTTTAATAACCCTGGTGTTCTCACTTGGCTGGTTTTACTGCCTGTCTGGTGGATGTCCCGCCAGCCTTGGTCCATTTTTACTGCAGGAATCGGGATCCCCCCATACACGCCCCTCCCCTTCCAGACTTTAATAACCCTGGTGTTCTCACTTGGCTGGTTTTAGTACCTGTCTGGTGGATCGCCCGCCAACCTTGGTCCATTTTTACCCCAGGCTCGAATTGATTCTTTTGTGTGAATCTCTCCAGCTATCGATTTGGCAGAGTCAGAGGAACAGATGGTTGAAAATAGCGGAGGATATTTCACCTTTCCCTTCTTTGTTCCGGTGTAAGTAATTGAAAGTGAAATTGAAGTTAATGGGCCTGAATTCTCCTTCTAGCTCTCGTTGGCGGATGTGTTTCCGCCAATGAGATATAGGAGGTTAACACGTAATCTTATTTTTCAAATAACTTTGTTATCATTAGCACAGATATGCCACCTTTGTGTATTTAAATGTTAATTGTACCTTTTTTGTTGTGTGGCGCTGTTAATATAAGTTATAAACTTGAGTGCAGCGTCACACTGTCCTTGTTATGTTTTGATGTTTTGATGAATAAAAAAAAAGTAATTGAAAGTATGTGAAGAGTTGGATGCCGTGTCGTGAGGCAAAATTTACTGCCGCCACAGACGCGCCAAACTGCGCCCGGTCGGTGTTTAACACATAATTGAGCTGCTGTTATGGTCGTATCCGAGTCTCTACCAGACTAACTACGCTGGCTATGATATAGGAGAATTTGCCAGGGGAGTTTGGCCGCCTTGTAGGTTTGACTGACCGCGCAGTGAGAGAAAGAAAGGAAGAACGGAGAGAGAGAAACTACCTCCATTGGCATTGGCCAATTTTACCCTCTTTTTTGCCGAATTCTACGATCCGTATTCCGGTAGAAAGGTCTGATGGAGGCTAGTCGTATCTAGCCTGACTACATCGCGCTTCTAGCAGCCTTTCCACTGGCCGATAGAAACATAATGGCTCGTCTGGCAGAGTGCACAACTGGAAACCAAGAGGTCCCGGGTTCGAGTCCTGACATGCCACCAATCTTGTGCCATTGGAAAATGCACTTTACATCTCACTAGCCCGACTACATCGCGTTTCTAGCAGCCCTTCCACCGGCCCATAGAAACATAATGGCTGAGTCAGGACGCTTCTAAGTCAGGACGCCTCTAATACCGATGCAACGGTCTTACATACAAAAGCAGAAGAAGGCTACTGACCCAGAATCTCCAGGCGAACAAATTTCTCCTCCTGTCCGGCTACGTCCAACACCACCGCTACGGTGTACAGTCCCTCGTCTTCCGGCTCCGTGTAGCTGATCTTTAGCGTGGCCTGGTCCTCCATAGTCACACGATTCTTATACCTGTTTAAAATGGTATAAGAAAAACAGTTATCAGTAAAACTTACAAATAAATTAATTACACAGTGATTCACTTGATCTAGCTTAACAAACTACTGCTCTGTTAATCCTTACTCAAACACATTCCTTCATATGGTGACCAGCCCCTCCTACTCTGTCCTGCCACTTGCTACATAATATAACCCGACACCACAGGGTGTCTCCTACAGCACCCGTTACCGTGGCGACAGTCAAACACATGAACATAGGGACAAACCGTTAATTCCTGACTATGGTGTGTACATGAAGAAGGGGACAAACCGTTAATACCTGACTAGGGGTGTACATGAAGATGGGGACAAACCGTTAATACCTGACTGGGGATTTTGCGTGCATATGGGGACAAACCGTTAATACCTGGCGTAGGGGTACTGTGACTGCGGGACAAACCGTTAATACCTTGCGTAGGGGTACTGTGACTGCGGGACAAACCGTTAATACCTTGCGTAGGAGTACTGTGACTGTGGTGTGTACATGAAGATGGGGACAAACCGTTAATACCTGACTAGGGGTGTACATGAAGATGGGGACAAACCGTTAATACCTGACTGGGGATTTTGCGTGCATATGGGGACAAACCGTTAATACCTTGCGTAGGAGTACTGAGACTGCGGTGTGAACATGAAGATGGGGACAAACCGTTAATACCTGGCGTAGGAATACTGTGACTGAGGGACAAACCGTTAATACCTTGCGTAGGAGTACTGAGACTGCGGTGTGAACATGAAGATTGTCTCCTTCTTGCCGCCGACTCCTCCCTCAATCTTGCTCCAGATGATGGAGATGACAGGCTGGCTGCTGGAGAAGGCCGCGCTCAACTCTACCGGCTCTCCCCGCACAGCGCGGACTAAAGACGGGACGTCTAGACCCACCTGGGCGCCAACACCTGGAACGGAAACGCACAGGTAAGCACACCTGGTGCACCTACAACCGCACGCACAAGGGATGGGACATCTAGGCCCACCTGGGCGCCAACACCTGGAACTGAAACGTACAGGTAAGTACAAGTAACAGGTAAACGCAACAGGTAACCACACCTGGTGCTGAGAATCGGAGAAGGCGGCGCTAAGTTCTACCGGCTCCCCCCGCACAGCGCGGACTAAGGACGGGACGTCCAACCCCACCTGGGCACCAACACCTGGAAGGGAAACGCACAGGTAAGCACACCTGGCCACCTGAAGGTGCTGTCAACACCTGACGCTGTGAGTTGGAGAAGGCGGCGCTAAGTTCTACCGGCTCTCCCCGCACCGCGCGGACTAAAGACGGGACGTCCAACCCCACCTGGGCGCCAACACCTGGAACGGAAACGTACAGGTAAGCACAGGTAACAGGTAAACGCACAGGTAACCACACTTGGGGCTGTGAGCTGAGAAGGCAGCGCTAAGTTCTACCGGCTCTCCCCGCACCGCGCGGACTAAGGACGGGACGTCCAGCCCCACCTGGGCGCCAACACCTGGAACGGAAACGTACAGGTAAACACACCTGGCGCACCTGAAACCCCGCGTACGGTTTTGGATAGTCCACACACATCCAGAACCGCGTCTCAGGGCCGGCAAGGTGCTTCTTGGATACGATCCAGAACCGTGCCTGATCCTAACCCTAACCCATTCAGACATAGAACTAGATAGGCACGGTTCTGGATACAATATGGAACGTGAAGTTACCCCAGGCACGGTTTTGGATTGTCTCCACGTATCTAAGATTGTAGATTTGCCACAGGCATGGTTCTGGATAAACATGGATTATCCAGAACCATGTCTGACCCTAACCCTAACCCATTCAGACACTTCAAAACTAAGTAGAGGCGGTTCTGGATACGATAGAGAGTTTGTTATTCTGTTGACGGAATCAGCACACATCTATATCTTTTGTAATGCATCAAATATCGCAGAGCTGATGACAGGCGCTTCATGAATAATGCCGCAGCCGTAACACAGATATTCACCAGCCGTCAGAAACAAATTGTGTACAAATCTATATACGTGTGTAAAATGAACAAACACACAAGCAGAAGTTTGGGTTTAGGCTTATTTTTGGCGTGTTTTAAGGCTTTTTTATCGGGGGTTCTTTTTTGCTCTGGATTTTCTTTTTACCCAACCCCCAGTACAAAAAAAAAAACCGATAAAA